ATAAAATGTAATCCAACGTTTTCATGATCAGATAATAGATTTTTAATTTTTTTTTTTTTTTCAAAATGGCGGAAAATTTCAAAATGGCACCCAAAAAGTGAAAATGAACAAAACTAAGTCAAGGCTTTGTTGATATTACTTCTATCGCATTGCATTTTGCAGTTCATAATGGCGGAAAATTTCAAAATGGCATCCAAAAAGTGAAAATGAACAAAACTAAGCCAAAGTTTTGTTGATAATACTTCTATCGCATTGCATTTTGCAGTTCATACAATATTCTAGGGATTGCGTTTCCATGATACATAGATGTTGCTTGCAAGACAATTTAATCAAAGATCCCATGAATGGAAACATTCGAACGTTTTCAGGGCGCCATCAGGATTTGTTTGACCGTTAAGTACCATATGAGTCATAGACTCACAAATGATAATGCATATGTTCCACTTCTACTTGCCACAGTCCTTTCTTTTTTCTTGATTGTGGTAACATCAAGATGATCAATAAAAACGACTAATCACCGTATTTCTACTTGCTACCAGTTGGCCAGAAACTACACACCCTTCAGGAACACCTGCGTTGACCCCTAGTTTTGTTGAAAAGGGACTCGTGTTGTTCATGCTTTCAATGTTGTGTTATTTGCTTTTTTATTTTTCCATGTCTGTGTTGTCAACCAGGTAAAGTCTCGTTTATCCATCGAACAGGCATGGGATACCTTATTTCATTTCAAACGTTCACATTTGGTCAAGCTTTAGATAATTGACACGTACCAAATATTTTAAGTTGTGTGATTCTAAGGCTTAGAAAAGAGACATTTATACATCTACTATTATATGATGTATGCCAAATTACTGGATATGACTCATCAATCTATATTAACAAGAGCACCTAGTCAGGTACCACTTGTTGAACAGGAACTGTTGACCCTTCTTGAGCACCTGCAATAATCCCCGGTTTAATGTGAGGTTGGTGTTGCTCAATTTGTAGATTATTGTGTAGTGATTTCTTGACTGCTATTAGTCTTTGTTTGAGTTTTCTATCCATTTTTTATCTGGTTTAGTTTTACCAATGATTTTTGAGTGCCTAAGTATCTTCCCTATCTTTTTTATCATCTTAACAACAACATATTTTCATTGCAGTTTTCAAAATGTTTCTCAAGGACAGTCCATTTAGTCTGTGACCCACTCCCCATCTAATTTTAAACATCACTGTACATACCACCATTGACCTCGGGCATTTTCATCTACCGTGACATCCGTTTTATATCTGTCAACTACATTTTGATAGCTCATAACAAAATGCTGGTACCTTTGTGATTAATTTCCATAGTGTATATGCCATCCACATTCACTCGAAGTAGCACTCTGGGTAAAAAGCCGAAACATTCCCCCGCCTAAAGCTTTCACATGCTTTGAGAATGTCAGGTGTATGCTTTTAAACCATTCTTGATGTAGAACATCATGTGGTTAACTGATCACGTTATATTATTTCAAAGGTGGATTGAAACTTGTTAATTACTATGGCCATTTCTAGACAAAACAACATTAAATTTTACTTATGGGCTTGATCTACATTTCATATTTTCAAATTACGTTCGCAACACTTAAACTGTATAGTTGAATGGCATAATATCGCGCATGGGTACTGAAAGCCATAATTTGGACGGAAAATGCAAAGAACCAATTAGTAATCAGTATAAAGAAATCTTTATATACTCAGAAGGAACTTTATTTTAATGATCTCACATCAGCACGTCCAGTTCAGTCCATGATGCTACAGACCAATTGTGGTTAAGTCGACTCTCAATTTCCCACTTATTTCTCCATTCTTTGTATGTTACATAGTTCTCACTAGAACCTCGTTCCTCGGTGACAATTATATCCGGATCATGCATAGGAATGAGAAGTACACCTACTGTAACATTATGGAAATGTCTTGTTCATGATGCATGATAGCCTTAAAGAAAATCTGCTGTTCATGTACTATGTTTCCTTAATTGTGTTCAACCACTGTTTTTGAATCAATTACATAAGGTTCTCGACGATTCAATTTCTATATGAAGACCTAAAACAAAACTATTCTGTGTTCTGCTAGAAACATGTTTGCCCAGTTCCACTGTTCCGATTTTACAAACGCAAAAAACGACTGATCACACGTGCTAATTGATACATGTCTCGAAAAATTAATACATTGTTGGATTGTATTCATGGAATGTCAAATTGTTGTGACATATTTGATCTCTTCCTGAAACATTTGTCAATCCGACCTGATATATAAAGGCGGATGACCATTTGTCTTCGCTCTATATGCGTGGAATGCTGTCCAGAAATATTTAATGTTTTCATTATCATTTGCTTCGAGACATCTGTGCTATCATTTTGTTAACTTATTTATCCCATGTAAGGATATTGTTGCACAATTGATTTATTGTACCAGGTTAGCATACATGTATTTCTGGTTAGACAATTGACAGAATGCATGTCCATAACACGTTAATTATTAGATGTAAGTATGAAACGCATGGTTATATTTGGTTAGTATTAAGGATATATCTTATTCTGGCGCATAATATATTGGTTAAAGTACCAGAGATTATAAGGGAAATGCATATATTTCAACGCATAAGGTTATGACAAATTTTCCAAGTTAGACTAAAAAAATGCTGAAATATTGAAAGTGTCGTATTTAACTATTTTTTAGCCGTAGTTGAACTCTTGCTGTTGTCAATATTGTTCACGGCTGCTGTTGTTAAACCACCAGGATTCGAGGGAGGAACCACATATTCAATGCTGAATGTTTCATAGATGGAATTTACTAGTACTGAAGATACATGGATAATTGGCGTATCATAAACGACAAACGTAAACTGTACATTTGGTCATTTAGTACTTCCTTTCCTGGTCTTAGCATCCGGATGAAGGGCTATATACATTAATAGATGGGTTTAATTCAGTTGAATGTAATATTAAAGAAGAATAGAGAAAACAAACAGAAGTAACTTTGAAATGGATAGCGTCGTATTTGCTTCAATGGAAAAACTGCATTTGAAAATCTGGACAAACGATTATCAACTAATGTTTAAAATGGCTGTGGAAAAGACTTTTGCCTACTGTCTTTTTGAACTACCTGCATGTGCAGCTTTTTCAAGTATCGTTCTCATACAAACAGATTGTTGCGGTTGTTTGTTTAATTATAACACCAAAATAATCATTAAACAGAAGAAGCAAGCACCTGCCTTGTTAATGGCCTGTCAAGCCTGAGATTACTGCAATTTTCTAGATCATTACTATGTCCTCTTCTTGTTGATCATAAGAAAAATGTTCGAGTCCAGTGTCTATACGTGATCCCTCGTTGTAGACTACTGTTTTGCAAGACTAGTACGTAGGTAAGATTTCTATACTTTCCCCCTGCAGTTTGAATGCTAGGAAGTTTTCACTTTCCGGCTGTTTGTACATATATTGAAGGTGTACATGTGGTCAGGGTTTTGATTTTAATTGATATGTGCTCTTTTGGGAGATAGTTGAATTTGTCATTTTTGGACTATATACTTCCATAAGAGGTGCATAACGTTTCCGGATAACTCTGCCTACAGTTGGAATGCTAGGAAGTTTTCAATTTGCTGGCTGTTTGTACATACATTGAAGGTGTGCATGTGGTCAGGTTTTTGATTTTTATTAATATTTGCTCTTTTATGAGATAGTTGAACTTTGTCACTTTTTGGAGTATATACTTGCATAAGAGGTGCATAGCGATTATGGATAACCCCTCCTACAGTGAACCATAGACATATGTTCTCCCATGCTCAACTTTGTGTATTTTAAAATAACACTTTCAATCTGCTGGAGCATCATTTGTGTCTCCCAGACACAATAATGTCTCAAAGAAAGTACTACATTGACTTTGTTATAATACAGTTACTTCAGAGTGGAGTTGGGGGCATCACTTTGTCTAGTTTGATAACTTGGGTCCATAGCTAATATTGATAGAAGCACCTAGCACTAATCACATGACAAATTTGAAGTAACATAAGGGATATTGGTTGATTTTGATATTTTAGGGCGGCCATCTTGATAATAGCCGCCATATTGAAATTTCAAGGTGGTTTCATAGCTAATTTTGTTTGAAACACACATAACTACTACCGTGCCAAATTTGGTGCTTTTATCATCAAACCCAAAATTGTGTTACCAATCTGCAGGACTATGGTGTTCACTTGCTTGTTAACACTGTTTTAGCATTGGCAAACACATGGTTTTAACAATTGTGTAAGGCGTTTAAAAGCAAAACCCATAGAGAAGGCACATCAATTGAAAATCTGAATTTCTAAAATACAAATGAAATTTGGCCAATTGGGTTATTAAGTTGATCTACTACCTAAAGGTTATAAAGATATTGACCTGATATTAATCAACAATCTAGAAAAATGAGTATGATGATGTGTACAATTAACTGAACTTTTTCGGGGGAGAAAAACCTTATACCAATGTCGAGGGAGGGCTTTCTACAGTAAAGGCCGTAGCTGCTTGTCCCTCAATTGGATAATCACTACTTTTCCGTTAAACTTTTTTTTATTAATCTGTAGTTAAACTTAGCTGCAATCAAACTACAACTCCTACAACTTTGAATTGTTCGAAAATCAAAAGATTCTCTATCCCAAGAACAGAATACCTTAGCTATTTTTGGCAAAACTTTTCGGAATTATGGGTCATCAATGCTCTTCAAGATTGTACTTTATTTTGACTTGTTTTATTCGAGCATCTCTGACTAGTCTGTTGTAGATGAAACGCACGTATGGCATGATAAAGACTTGTATATACTCAATGTTTTGTGCGACACAAAAAAAATAAAATGTGTACTCTCTCTCTCTCTCTCTCTCTCTCTCTCTCTCTCTCTCTCTCTCCGGGGACATAGAATCCTTGTCTTGAAAATTGCCATCTCTCTCTCTCTCTTCTGGGGATATTGGATCCTTGTCTTAAAAACTATCATTTCATATTAATTCTTACCACTTTATAACTTTCTTCTTTAAAATACGCTATTTCATTTTCAGTAATAACATCATGGAATATCAAAATTTTAGGATCCAGATTCACCTCCTCTGTCTTTGATTTGAAGTACGGAATATTGGTCTTAACCATATAACAACTTAAACTTGAACGTTCTTTGTTTGACTTAAAATAAAATAAAATTTCATTAATTAATCATTGATGTTTTATTGATTATAGTAAAAAGAGTATTCATTGTACTGTATCATTGAATAATCTTCGCGAGGACGCCTGTGACCAAAACTATACACTGTTAGAGATGTGTTTAGGGCCGAAACACTTTTCTAAACACATTTAGTAATATTGAATTGGTTGCATATTTTATACTAAACATGTTTAATATCTAAAATTGTTTAGGAATGTGCTTACAATCTAAACGTATTAGTCTTAGTAGTGTTTTGTCTTATGACATGCTTAGGTTAAATTAGAATGTAAACATTAATATATACATGTGTGTACCACTGCAATTATGTGCTAATGAGATCTTAACCCCGTCCATCAATCATTCCTCTGTTTCAGAAATCCTAAAACGGGATTTTAATCATTCTTGAAAGCACACCTCTATGCCAAACATAACGTCCATACTTTTGTATCAAAACACCGTTGATTTTTCTTGTTATGTAGCTTTACAGAAATATGAATGACCGGACCCTTAAACTATCTTTTTTCAACATTTGTGTAGACTGCTTCTTTTGAAAATTGTCTCACATGCATTACATCCGCGTTAAAATATATTTAAGTGCACGGTTCATCACAATACATCAATACATTTAGCTAGAATGCTTGAAATAAAATTCATGGATGAGTAAATGAGGTGAAAGTCTGCGTTTAAGTCCATATCTGAGATGAGGAATACAAATATTTTGTCAGTAGATGCTACTTTGATTGTCACGAGTTTCAAAATCAAGTCTTGAAAATGAATTAAATGATATTCCATTTAATCAACTGCACTTAAAAGATATTCGATTTCATCAACTGCACAATTAAGTTATGTTTTATGGCATTATCAAAACTTATTGGATTGGACCAGTTCTGGCAATTGAGGATTAAAGTCAACTCAATATACAGATTGTTTATATAATATTTTGCACTTTTTTTACACCAAAAACCTCCATATTTCCGACCCAAAAATTTTGTGCGTGCACCAATTAATTCTCTTGTCAAGAACTGATATGGGTATCTACTTTTTACTGTTAAAACGTTAACAAAATCTTTACGTGTCGTAAAATGATGCAAATTCATTAACAGAAAGTTTTTTCGTTAGTTGATCAACTTAAAATGTGTATTGAATTAGCATATTACAATAAAATGATTAGTTATATTGGTGTAATCAAGGGTGTATGGCAGTTTACATCGGTGTTCATACTCCTCGAAGCGAAACCGACTTTTCAACACCAGGTAACACTTCAAATCAGATTTTTTCAAAATTATCGTTTTTTTCGTTATACTTTATCCCTCTTAACATGCTTGTTTTTCTATTAATGGTATTTTATAAGAAATATGTAAACTAAAGTATGCTCCACAACAACGATATCGATAAAACCAACAAGGCAACTGGGTCTACAGTGTAAAAATGAAAAAAATTAAAAACGTGTCCCCTGTAGTGCGCACTTTCTTTATCTAAAAATTCTAAACACAAGTTGCGCCTTCGATGTTGCTATACCATATGTGGGGATGCTTGCTTTTCCTGTATTGAGTTCGAAAGCGGCGCTTGAGTCAGTCACGGTTTTAATATACTAATTACAAACGCATTAAACAAAAAAATAGCAGAAAAATAAAAAAAGTGGAATCTATCTAGAACATTTAAAAATATTACCGAAGAGCTATTAACATGAAAACTGTAAACAGCAGAACGATAAGCTCGATAAGATCTTAAAATAAGTCAAACATAACCGAAATGGTCGATCTCAACACTTAGTTTATTGGAAGTATTGCTTTGAAATGTTGATGTTAAACCTGACTTGGCTGTAATTTTAATAGATACTTAAACAAAATATACAGCAAAAACGATCAGTAAGAAAAGAATATCTGCAAAAAAGTCAAGCTACCAAAAATTCCCGATATGAGTTATATTCGTTCAATAACGATTTTTATCCGTTTTTAATCTGAGTAATTATTTGAAAACTGTAATAGATTGAGAGAAAATTTACACATATTTTTACAATTAATTTTGTAAGATAAATTTCATGAATTATATCAATCTTTTACCCAACATAACAAAAAACAGATTAGATAACCTACCTTTCTGTTTACTCCTCTACAGAGTTGTTTTTGTATACTATCAAGCTCTTGTTCATGAAATGGCCACAGTTTTGGAACCTCCTTTTTGGGGTATGCTTTTAATTCATTCATGTACTTCATGTAATCCTCTTGTATTGACAAAACGCCTAAAATATGTTCGACAAAGACTTTCAATATTTGCCTTCTGTATCATCTTATGCATAAGCATGTTAAAAACATGTATATACTTTTTTATTTAGGAATTTAATGCTTCTTTCTGCAGTTTTATTGGGGTGTAAAAGCATTGACCGAAGCACATTTTGTATGACAAAAAATGTGCGGACGATCAACGCTTTTTCAACCCTAAAAAATTACCTAAAGAAGAATTGAATTCTTATAATAAGATTTTTATGCTACAATCATAAACATACGAGTTATAGTTATTTTCCTGTGCATTGTTGTGAAATTGTCATGAGAAGCACGTGATGTCGTGGATCCTAAATTCTATTAAGAAATACAATTTGGTATTGGAATACCTCGCTTTCAGCCAATGAAAAGTACGGATTCTAATCAAACATACATATAGTGTAATTATTGGAATGGGAAACAATAAACGCAACCTAATACATATCAGTGTATAAAGTCGATTAGAAAAGCTCACTGGAACTTGTTCTTTGTACCTTATTTTTTTTATATATCGACTACCATGACATTACTAATTCATTTTAGTCACGTTTGTATCTTTATATTAAGTAACTGTCTGCATAATATTAGGAAGATTGAGAGATCAAGGGGGTTTCGCCATTGCCCTATACCCTTTGTCCTGAATTTTCGACAATTTTTAGCTGAAAAGTGAAAATTTAAGCCCTCCGTAGATATCGAAGATGACATTATTCTGGGAAATCCTTTTGATACGATCTTTATATATACTTAGTCTATGATATCGTTGAATGTTAAAGACATTGAAAGACCAGGGGGTGTCACCGTCTTTGAAGCGGCCTTCGGTAGGTTTTCACTATATATTTTGAATATCAAACTGGCACTTTGAGCCCTCTGTAAAAAATAAAGACAGGAAGTTTACCCTAATTCCTTTTAGTCGGCTTGTATCTTTATAATAACTAACTTTCTGCATAATATTAGGAAGATTGAGAGATCAGGGGGGTCTCGCCATTGTCACGTGCCCTTTGTCCTGAATTTTCGACATTTTTAGCTGAAAAGTGATAATTTATGCCTTCCGTAGATATGGAAGATGAAAATATTCTGGAAAATCTTTTTGAAAAGATCTTTATATATACTTAGTCTATGATATCGTTGAATTTTATGGACATTGAGAGACCAGGGGTCTCACCGTCTTTTAATCGGTTTTCGGTAGGTTTTCACTATATATTTTGAATATCAAACTTGCACTTTGAGCCCTACGTAAACATAGAAGACAGGAAGTTTACCCAAATTCATTTTAGTCACGTTTCTATCTTTATATTAAGTAACTGTCTGCATAATATCAGGAAGATTGAGAGATCAGGGGGGTCTCGCCATTGCCCTGTGCCCTTTGTCCTTAATTTCGACAATTTTTAGCTGAAAAGTGACAATTTAAGCCCTTCGTAGATATCGAAGATGACATTATTCTGGGAAATCTTTTTGATACGATCTTTATATATACTTAGTCTATGATATCGTCGAATTTTATGAACATAGGGGTCTTACCGTCTTTTAAGTGGTCTCCGGTAGGTTTTCACTATATATTTTGAATATCAAACTGGCAATTTGAGCCCTCCGTAAACATAGAAGACAGAAAGTTTACCTAAATTCCTTTTAGTCAAGTTTGTATCTTTATATTAACTAACTGTTTGCATTATATTAGGAAGATTGAGAGATCAAGGGGGTTTCACCATTGCCCTCTGCCATTTCTTCTGAATTTTTGACATTTTGGGCTGAAAAGTGACAATTTAAGCCCTTCGTAGATATCGAAGATGACATTATTCTGGGAAATCTTTTTTATACGATCTTTATATATACTTAGTCTATAATATCGTTGAATTTTATGGACATTGAAAGACCAGGGTCAGCTCGATGGTTAATTAGATGGCGTCTAGACTAAACTACACACGAAATGTTGATACATTTTATCGAGTCCGTGCATCGTAAAATGTTTATTTTAGACTTTTAACTATTTGGATATACGTTTTAGTATGTTATAATTCAAATATGAGAATTTGAGTCGAATCGGTGAACATGAATTTGACAGCTATTGCCCCTTTAAGGTAGAAACCTATTTTATAACAATGATAGTAATAATAATATTTTGAATAAAGTTATATTCCAATTGATTTGTTCAGAACTCAAAATATTGTAGAGTCATTAAAAACGATTAAATAGCATTACTAACCCCATTTTCGACTCAACGCAATCATCATACACATCATTCACTTGATATTGTCTTTCCTAATTGACTGGAAACCTTAATAAATGTATGGTTGTTTGATTTAATGATTGTTGTTTGTTTTGAGTCCAGTGGCAACTATTTCATTAATGTTCAGGACGAGAACGAATTAACAAATAATACAAAAGAGAGTCGACCTTGATCAAGGGAGGAAAATTGATAATGTGACTAAAACAAAATATGGTATACATTGGATAGGGACAGAAATAAAACCTTGCTACATGCTACCTATGAATCTATCATTGCAAGGGTTCTTAAATGCAGAGAGCGTAGTACTCTTTCTACACGAGACAACGGATTAGAAACTCCAATCCTGACCGGTCGTGACTGTGAACACTTTGGGAGTAACCCTGCATTGATGAACATTCCAATCATTTTTTTATTACGCAATCATGAAATCAGAACTTTCAATAGTTACTTCAAATCAAAATATCAGTCAACGGAACAAGTGAAAAACAACTGCCATATTCCTGACTTGGTACAGGCATTATCCGAAGAAAATGGTGGGTTTAACCTGGTATTATACTAGCTCCAAGTTGTATGACAGTTGTTTATATTTCCGTTATATAGACAAAATTAGGTAAGCAACCCAAACAGACATAATAGTTAATAGTTAGACATAATAGAACTTGGATTCGTAAAATGAGTTTCGAAGCTTAATTTGTACAAAGAATTTTTGATTTGAACATCAAACATAATAGAATGGGAACACATACCTTTTTGTGAATACATTTCTAATAATTGAGCTGCATCTGCTGTAAACGATGCCTACAAGATAAATGTTTTAAATACGTGTATGTAAATTCAGACATTTTGTTCCTTGTGAACTAAAATTTCAGTAAAATAAACCTTATTTTTTATCTGTGGGGGAAAATAGTGTAAAAAAAAACTTATAGCTCTTGCAAATGACAGTTTTTGAAAATTGGCATGTTTTCCGCAAGGACGCAATGAATGAAACAAGTATCTCTATTTGGATTCCAAGCGAAGAACGCGATTCTCAAATGTAAACAAAAATGTCTCCTTCATGATTTTGAAATGTTGCTATTAATATTGCTATTAATATTTAAATGTCTTGACTGAACATAAAATAACAATTGATTTTGTTTTAGAGTGCAGAGAATTTATAATGTAGAAATATAACTATAGATATATATATATTTCCTATCTAATTAACTGGTCGTTTGGTAAATATATAGACTTTATAATGTTGATATATAACTATAGATATACATTTCCTATTTAGTTAACTGGTAGTTTGATAAATCTGAATGCAAATATATTTGCTGCAACTCATTTAAAGCCTTCTTCTTTAATGAGAAAGGCAAATATGCTAGATATACTTACTGGAGGTGTGATGAGATGATTAATTTTCTCCTTGGTAATATTTATGAACGTTTTGGCAATAACTTTTATCGACAGGTTGTAGGTATTCCCATGGGCACCAATAATTGCGCCCCTTTAATAGCAGACTTGTTCTTGTACTGTTATGAATCACAGTTTATGACCAAATTCAATAAAGACCAGTCTAAACTGCATTTAACTGATAAATTCAACTACAATTACCGTTATCTTGATGATATTTTTTCGTTAAATAATCAAGAATTTTCTAAATAAACTGCCGAAATTTACCCAAAAAGGAACTTACTCAAAATAAATCAAATATAAATGCTAATATCTGTCCTTTCCTAGATTTAGATATTTCAGTTTTACACGGGAAACTCTACACTGAAATTTACGACAAAAAGGACGATGTTTCGTTCCCTATTGTTAATTTTCCTTTTTAGATGGTGATGTTCCTTTGGCACCATCTTACGGTGACCTATTTAATTTCTGTGTCATTTGGTCTCTTATGAAGTGTTGTCTCATTGGCAATCATACCACATCTTCTTTTTTATATATGTTTATAACAATAATATTTAGTTTGCTTTTAATTTACTGATAACAAAATCAATATTTATACCAATAAAAACAATATTCAAAGATCTAATTACAGTGCTGAATTGGTAACCTTTTAGAATAAGTTTATTTAAAGGATCGATAAGTTTACCTGGATCGTTTCTAAATTTCCGGGCACGGTTAACAACATCTCCGTAAAAATGATGATGTGCTATCCCGTTTGAAATAGGTTTTCTACAGGTACAACCAAATTTCAAAACCAAATCTTTATATCTATGGAAGAATTTAGTAAAGGTTTTAAGTAATTTGTGGTAACGAAATCCCTGACTTAATAATTTACCAGTAATACATAGGTTATCTTCATTAAAATCCAAAACGTCACAACAGACACGGGCATAGCGAACGAGTTGTGATATATAAACACTGTAAGATGTTGCGAAAGGAACATCACCATCCAAAAAAGGAAAATTAACAATAGGGAACGAAAAATCGTCCCTTTTGTCGTAAATCTTAGTGTGGAGTTTCCCGTGTAAAACTGAAATATCTAAATCTAGGAAAGAACAATTATTACCGTTTACATTTGATTTATTTAAAGTAAGTTCCTTTTAGTCCGGCAGATTGGTGAAACAATTGTCGGTTTGATGATAAAAGCACCAAATTTGGCATGATAGTAGTTTAAGGTGTGTCTAGCAATATTAGCTATGGACCCACCTTGAAATTTCAATATGGCGGCTATTTCCAAGATGGCCGCCATTAAATATCAAAATCAACATATATCACTTATATAAGGTCACATTCAAGGTCAAATGTGGCATGGCAGTAGTGCTGGGTGTTTTTCAAAAATATTAGCATGAACCCATCTTGAAATTTTATTATGACGGCTTTTCCAAAATGGCCACCAAAAAATATCATATCAACAAATATCACTTATATTAGTTCAAATTTGTCATTTTATTAGTGCTAGGTGCTTCAAACAATATAAGCTATGGACCCAAATTGATATTTCAATATGGCGGCTTTTTCCAAGATGGCCACCACAAGTTTACCATATCAACAAATATCCCTTATAGAAGGTTACAAAGTGTTGTTCTTTTTACGTACCTGCATTAAGTGCCCTATAAAACCAAGTGCATGCCACATTTATATACTAAAGGCATCCATCAAAACATTTGTGAGGAAAGTATAGAAAATCGTAACTACGATACCATTCTTGCAGAACAGTAATCAACAACGAGGGATCACGTATAGACAGGCGTTATTACAATATTTAAGCTAGACTTAACTAGAATGTATACTTCTCGATTGAAACAGTTTTCTTTATGATCAATTGGAAGAGGACATAGTAATGATCCGAGAAAAATTGCAGTAATCTCGGGCTTGCCAGGCCATTAACAAGGCATGTGCTTGCTTATCCTGCTTAATGATTATGTTGGTGTTGCATTTAAATAAGCAACCGCTACAATCTGTTTGTATGACAACGGTATTTGAGAAAAGATGAAAATGCTGGTAGTTCAAAAAGACAATGATGTAGGCAAAAGTTTTTTTCCACAGTCATTCAAACATTAGTTCATAATCGTTCGGCCAAATATTCAAATGCAGTCGAGTTATTCTATTGAGGCAACTACGACGCTATCCATTTTAAAGTTACGTCTGTTTGTTTTTCTGTATTTTCATTTAATATTACAATCAACTGAACTAAATTCATCTCTTAATGTATATAGGCCTTCTTATGGATGCTAGGACCAAAAAATGAGGTACTAAATCACCAAAATGTACAGTTTACGTTTGTCGTTTATGAATGACCGAATTATCCATGTATCTAAATTACTAGAAGATTCCATCTTTGAAAATTCAACATTTGAATATGTGGTTCCTCCCTCGAATCCTGGTGATTTTACAACAGCAGCCGTGTACAAAACTGACAACAACAAGAGTTCAATTACTGATAAAGAATCGTTGCATTCAGCATCTTCTTAGTCTAACTTGGCAAATTCGTCATAACCTTATGCTTTGAAATATATGCATTATCCTTATAATCTCTGGTACTTTCACCTATATATTATGCGCCGGCACAACTGTTCGTGTTACTGCTCTAACTTAGTATATAATATATATATATTACTAGAATAAGATACAATGTATATCCGTAATACTAACCAAATATAACCATGCGTTTCATACTTACATCTTATAATTTTCGTTTTACGGACATGAACTCTGTCAATTGTCTATCCAGAAATACATGTATGTCAACCTGGAACAATTAGTGAATTGAAGTCTATCCTTACATGGTAAAAATAAGTTAACAAAAATATAACACAAATGGCTTGAAGCAGATGATAATGAAAACATTAAATATGTCTGGACATCAGTCCACGAATGTAGAGCCAAAACAAATGGTCATCCGCCTTTATATATCAGTCCTCATTGACCAATGTTTCAGGAAGAGATCAAATCTATCACAACGATTCGACATTCCATGAATACAATTCAACAATGTGTTATTTTTTCCGAGATATGTATCAAGTACCACTAGTGATCAATCGTTTTTTTTTTTTTTTTTTTTTTTTTTTTGCAAAAGCGAAACAGTGGAACTCGGTAAACATATTTCTAGTAATACAAAGAATGTTTTTGTTTTGTGTCTTCATATAGAAATTGTACCGTTGAGAATCTTCGAAAACAGTGGTTGAACAAGTGTTCAATCAAGGAAACATAGTACTTCATGAACAGCAGATTCTGTTTTAGAGGCTTTCATGCATCATTAACAAGACATTTCCATGAGGTTACAGCAGGTGTACTTCTCATTCTTATATATGCAAAGATCCTGACATAGTTTTTACTGATGAACGAGACCCTGATGTGAACTGTGTAAAATTAAAAGAATGGAGTAATAAGAGGATTAGGAGTCCACTTAACCACAACTGGTCTGATGTTGAAGTGAGATCATTAAGAGAATGCTTAATCTGGGTGCATAAAGATTTCTTTATACTGCTTATTCATTGATTCGTTGCATTTTTCCTTCCAAATTATGGCTTCCAGTACCCTTGTGCTATATTATGTCATTTAACTATACAGTTTAAGTGTTGCAAACGTAATTTGAAAATGGAAATGTAGATTAAGCCCATGCGTAGAATTAAACACTTTTAAAAGGAGAAGGTGGGGCAATCAGATTGACAATACATGTAGCACAACTACAGCATTTAATGGTGTTTTGTCTATAAATGGTCATAGTAATTAGCAAGTTTCAATCCACCTTTAAAATAATTTAACGTGATCAGGTAAACCACATGATGTTCTACATCAGGAACGTTTTAAAAGCGAACACACACCATTCTCAAAACATGTCAAAGCTTAAGGCGGGGAATGTTTCACCCTTTTACCTAGAGTGCTACTTCGATAAACTGTGGCATATGCCATATTAACATTTATCAAAAAGGTATCAGCATTTTGTAATGAGCTAATAAAATGTGGTTGACAGATATAAAACGAATGACCTGGTAGATGAAGTTGCGCGAGGACAGCTGTGTTGTATAAAGACTAAATGAGCTGTCCTTAAGAACATTTTGAACACTGCATTGAGAAAATGTAATTGTTTAGATGATAAAAAAGATACATAGGCACTCAAAAATCATTAGTAAAACAAAACCAGATAAAAAAATGGATAAAAAACGCAAAAAAGGACTAACAGAAGTCAAGAAATCACTACACAAAAAAAAAAAACACTTAACTTTGAGCAACGTCAACCCAACTAAAAGCCGGGGATGATTTACGGTGCTCAAGCAGGGTCAGCAGTTCCTGTTCAACAAGTGACACCTGCCTAGGTGCTCTTGTTTAAATAAATAAATGAATCATATCCAGTAATTAGG